ACTTCACTCTCAGACTGCAGGTTTACTTGTGGTTCCTAGAGTTTACAAAAACAGAATGGGAGGAAGATCTTTCAGTTCTCAGGCTCCTCTCTTGTGGAACCAACTTCCAGTTTCTGTCCATGAGGCTGACACATTGTCCAATTTTAAAACTAGGCTGAAGACTTTCCTTTTTGATAAATCCTATAGTTAGGGTCGGCTTGGGTTTCCTGAGCTGTCCCTTAGTTCTGCTGCTATAGACTTAGACTGCTGGAGGACAAACTGACCACACTTTTCACTCTGCTGCTGTCTTTACTTACTCTGCTCAACCTGTTTGTATTTGTAATTATTTTTTCTATCCTTAACATGTGTTTTTGTCTTTCAGATACACCTGGACCTATATCTGGACCTGGACCTACAACTGGACCTGGACCTATACCTGGACCTGGACCTATACCTGGACCTACCATTCTGTGTTGGTCTGTCTCTCCTTCCTGTCCTCTCAACCAGCCGCTCAAAGCAGATGGTCTCTTGTCCTGAGCTGGTTCTGCTGGAGGTTTCTTCCTGTTAAAGGGAGTTTTTCTTTCCACTGTCTCCACTGTGCTTGCTCAGGATGGGAGACTGCGACAAAGCCAAGATTCAACTTGTCTGCTGGATTACTTAGATAGAGAACTTTACTAATTGGCTTTTATGTGAATGTTCATGTAAAGTCCTTGAGACAACTTTGTTGTGATTTGGTGCTATAGAAATAAACTGAATTGAATTGAATTGAAAGTTGATGAGATATCCAGCTGTGTGCGTGCCAACAAGGCAAATCTGCTCACCTGAAGACTGTCTTTTCTTCAAAGAAATGTTATCAATTGTGTTGAGGGACCAACTGATCAAATCTAAGTCCATAGTTATGATTCGGAAGATTTGTAGAAGAAAGGCTCTAAAGCAGTTTCACAGACAGACAGAGCAAAAGCAAAGTGGAGAGGGAGAGGAGGAGACGTCCGCCCTTGAGAAGAGCTAGCTCTTGCTAGCATTAGTTTAACATGGCTTCTGCTTCTCTCCCAATTGTCGCTTGCTCCATGTGTCAGATGTTTAGTTACTCCTCGGCCTCCTTTAGTGGTAATGGTACATGTCACAAATGTAGTCGTATGCAACTGTGGAGGAGAGGCTGTCTGAACTGGAAGCTCGGCTCCACGCTATAGAGAAACCATTGCCCCTCGCTTCGTTTCAGTCATATCTCTCTGGACACACTCAGTTTATCCAACTTAAATCATTCAGGTCCCACTCCTCCCCAGTCACTTCAGGTGTGTCCCAAGGCTCTGTCCTGGGGCCCCTTTCTTTTCATCATCTACCTTCTCCCCCTTGGCAATATCTTCCATAAATTTAACATTCACTTCCATTGTTTTGCCGACGACACCCAGCTCCTTCTTATCCACTGCATCTAATTCTTCATTTCCTCCTTCCTCCCTCACTTCCTGCTTAACTGAAATTAAATCCTGATTTACATATTTTTTCCCTCGTCCTGTTCAGCATTGTGACACTCAGACTTATTGTCTGAGGGTCAAGGTGATAAGCCAGATAAGCCGAACTTCTGGAACTTCAGTGAACTTCAGTAAACTTCCGGCGAGCTGATGGAGGGCAGCTCCCTCCGGCTTCTCGTCCTGAAAAATCCTCCATCTTAGACCTGTTTCTAACTAATATGCCTCAAAAATTCCCTGGTACAGGTGTATTTGCCAATATCTTTAGTGATCATTGTGTGACAGCAGCTTTGAGAGATATTAAACTTCCACCTTCTACGCCCAGATTAATTCAAAAAAGGGATCTGAAACATTTTTGTGAACAGACTTTCCTCTGGGATCTGTCTCACTTTGACTGGCATCATATTCTGTTAACTGATGACGTGAACTCTGCTTGGAACTATTTTAATAAGTTTCATTTATTTTGTGAACAAACATGCTCCTTTTCATCAGTTCAGAATAAAGGGACGAGACAGCCCCTGGTTTACTCCAGAGCTAGCTGACCTCCTGCACAGGAGAGATCATCTTTGGGCTGCAGCGAGAAAATCTGACTCAGACACTGATTGGTTGAGTTTTCAACAGATGAGGAATAAATGTACAACTGCTGTTAAAGCAGCAAAACAACTATTTTTTATCTCAGACCTCCAAAAATCTAAATGACACTAACAGATTCTGGAAAACCATCAAATCTCTCTCAGGCACCACCCAATCATCTGACCTCCCATCACAACTTCTCGTTAACTCTGTTCCTGTGTCAAATAAGCACGAGATCCTGAACTGTTTCAACAAACATTTTGTTGCTTCTGGTTCTTTATTTGACACAGTTACTAATGGAAGATCAGCCACTTCACTTAATAACCAAACTTCTACAAATCAAATCCCTCCTACAAGTCAATCCTCAGTTAATCACAGCTTCTCTTTTTCTCCATTCTCAGTCAGTGAGGTCAATAAACTGTTAAAAGATCTTGATCCTAAAAAATCTGCAGGTCCAGATGAACTTCCACCTTATTTCTTAAGGCTGGCTGCTCATATCATCACAGTCCCTGTGACCCACATCTTCAATCTCTCCATAAGACAAAACTCCATCCAGACACTTGAAAACAGCCTTTGTTCTTCTTTTGCTGAAGGGAGGTGACCCCACCTCACTGAACAACTATCGACCAATCTCTAAACTCTGCATTTTAGCCAAGGTTCTAGAAAAACTGATAAACTCTCAAATCAAAAATGACCTGGACTCATTTAACATCTTACCTCCACATCAATCTGGTTTCAGGAAACAACACAGCACAACCACTGCTTCACTGAAGGTTCTTAATGACGTTGTTGAAGCACTGGATGCTAAGGATTATTGTGCTGCACTTTTCTTAGACCTGTCTAAAGATTCTGACTCTGTGGATCAGAACATCTTGTGTCATAAACTCTCTGAAACTGGTTTCTCAGAACACACCATTGGTTGGTTCTCTAACTATCTTTCAGACCGGAGGCAATGCACAACAATGCACCGAACCACTGCACCCAGTATTCACTGGTTAACTGGTCACCATTAACTTCACACAGACTCTCTCACTGGTACATTTTCATCTTTAAATCACTTCCTGGTCTGCTGCCTTCATACATCTCCTCCTACATGTCTCTGTGTGAGTGCAGCTACAGCGTGCGCTCTCAGGACATCATTACCTGCAGTGTTCCCTCAGTGAGGACTGAACTAGACAAAAGGACCTTCTCCTACTCCGCTCCTGTTTCCTGGAAGATCTTACAAAAAGATTTGAAGCTCTTGACCTTTGACCTCTCTAAGTGGCTTTAAGAATCTGTTGGACTCCTGGCAGGGACCAACGCAGACATGTTCCTGTTTTTAGTTTTCTACATTCGCCTTAGAATCTAGCTGTTTTTTGTTACTTTTTTCTTTTAGCCATCCTATTTGTAAAAAAAAACTAAAAAAAAAACTGCAGTATGACTTTTTATAATTGTTTATTGTTGTTGCTGTTGTCCATTGTTGTCATCTTTCTTTGTTGAAATGTCCAAATTACATGGCCACACTGATGGAATGTGACTGAGTAAAATCCCCAAGATCTGATCCATTCTGCCCAAAGCATTCGAGTCCAGATACTCGAGACATGAACCAAGCCATCATAAAGGCAAGCAGCGTGATCGGGTCCAAATTTGCTGCCGACGACTTCCTTGATTGATTGATAAAACCAGCAACCAGCTGAATCCAAAAAGCAGGAACCAGTTATCTAAAATCCAAATAAATATGCGTCCTTAAAATCCACAGATGGCAGCAGAGATAGACACATCATCAAGTCTTCCAAGTTGATGAGATATCCAGCTGCGTGCCAACAGGGCAAATCAGCTCGCCTAAAGCCCATCTTCTCTTCGAAGAAATGTTGTAAATTGTGTTGAGGGACCAACTGATTAAAACAAGTCCATAATTATGGTTCGGAAGAAATGCAAGAGAGGCTCACAGCAATTTCACAGACAGACAGAGCAGCAAAGCAAAGCAGAGAGGGAGGGGAGGAGAGAAGCGTCCGATCTCGGCAAGAGTAAGTGGTGAAGACATGGACGCCCAAGTGTCCAAGACATGCAGCCGCAGATCAGATGAGATGACAACAAAGTCGATCATTGAACTGCGGCCTAGGGTGTCCTGATGTCAAGAGCACATATGGACACCATTAGGCTTAAACATGGTGTTCGTTATGGACAATCCATGACGAGCACAGAAGTCCGATAACAGAACACCACTTGGTTCAGATCGAGGGGGCGTTCCTCCCCACCACACCCCTCCAGGTTTCATTGTCATTGCCAACGTGAGCGTTGAAGTCCCCCAGTAGAACAAGGGAGTCCCCAGAAGGCGCACTCTCCAGTATACCCCCCCAAGGACTCCAAAAAGGGTGGGTAATCTGAGCTGCTGTTTGGCGCATAAGCACAAACAACAGTCACAACCCGTCCTCCCACACGTAGGCGGCCATAACTAGAGGCCGAGCGGACACATAATGTGATATGCTCGGGTGAAAATAAAGCTTAAACACATTTCAAAATTGATTTATGGGCTTTTAGAATTGATTCAGAATTACCAGGACTAGGAATGTAGATTCTTTAATGAATCTATTTTTTCAGCAGCAATATGTCTATGGGCGCTACAATCGAAGTATACACAGGCACACTCAGTAGACTGAAACAAACGCACCCTAGAGGAGTCTGCTACCGCCCAGTTCACACTTTCATTCTATTGGCTGGGACGGTTGCTAGGCAACAGTACTTTAGTTCCAAGAGAGAGCGAACAGGTTTGCGAGAGGAGATTTGATCCAAGCAGAGAGAAGTTTTGAGCACGAGCAGGAAAACACAAAGTTTTCAGTGAGAACAGAGAATATTTGAGAGAGAGAAGTTTTGAGTCCAAGCATTACAAGTTTTGAGAACAAAGATATGAATTCCTGCTTTCAAACACAAAATGTGCGCTCTCCGTTAACGGCATGATCATTCTTACACGGGGTCCTACCTGCCATGCGCTGAGTGTCCGTGGAACGTGGCAGAATGTGGCATCGTATGTTTGGGAAGTGGCATAGTGTAACGATGACTCGCCTCCCTCTGATTGGTCGACTGCTGGACAACATGCTGAGTTGGACGTCTTCGCTGCAGAGCTCCGCCCATTACGGCCTGACCTTTGACCCCAGAGTTCCCGTCAGTGTTGAACTCTGTGGAGACCTGTCCTCTAAGTTGATTCTGGTGGGGAGAGCCCAAGGTGTTCCTCAGGTACCAGTCCCTGAGACCTGTGGGTCACAAGTCAGGTTCTGGATCAGTTCCCAGGTGGAACTGGTTCTAGTGGTGCAGAACCATGGTCTAGTCTGTGGTACTGGTTTCTGTGAGAGTACTGCTTCTGGACCAGATTTCCTGCTGGAAATCAGACATTTCCTCCTCCTCATCACCCTCCTCCTTCTCCTCCTCCTCATCATCATCATCATCACCACCACCACCAGCCTCCTCCTCCTCCCCATCATCATCATCATAATCCTCATCATTACCACCACCACCCTCCGCCTCCTTCTCATTCTCATCATCATCATCATCAAACCCCTGAGCTCAGATGTGTTTGATTTGTGAACCAGACTGCCTCAGATTGGACCGGGTCAGACTGGATTGGATCAGCAGGTCCAATCAGACCAGATGAGACTGAACCAGACAAGACCTAGTTAAAGCAGACTGGGTCAGCTGCTCACCTTCCAGAGCCAGAGCCTTGTGGAGGCTGCGGGTGGCGTCCTCCAGCTGGGCATCCTGATGGGGGGGCAGCTGGGCCGGACGAGGAGGCAGCAGGTGGGGGTGGGGATCCGGTTGAATTGTGGGTGAGCTCTGATGGGGGGCGGCATCCTGGTTTGGTTGCATAAGCAGGAAGGGCCCACAGGACTTGGTGCGGGTGACTCTGCGCTGGTTGCCTTGGTGACCAAGATAAGTGGGAGGGGCTCCTGAGGGCTGCTGGGCAGAGATTAGCTGGTGCTGCAACGTGACTGGCTGGCTGCTGGGCTGGGACTTCTGGTGCTGCGATCGACACCGAGTTTGAAGAGTCTCACAGCGTTGGGACCTGAAGGACGAGAGGAGGTCTGTTACAGGACTGGCTCTAGCTGATCCAGGACCAGCACTTGGTCTGGTTATGATTGAATCCAGAACATGAAGGTAGTGGAAAGACTCACCTGCTGTAGACCAAGTTCTTCCAGGAGGGGTTCTGGTGGACAGATTCTAGTAGAGACCCAGCAGGGAGCAGCGGGGGCCGACACAGAGACGATCCGTCCTCTGCCAGACAGACAGTCAGGGTGATCAGGTTCTGATACAACAGCTGGACTTAGGGCTTTAACAGACTACTCGAGTAATCTACACATCGATTCCTAGGACACCTATAGAGGTTTTTAATTTCACGTCGAGTATTCGTGGTGATGTCATTGCGTCACGTGTCACGTGATCCGCACCGGGCGCAGGTTACTAAATGGATTCCTCCCAGCAGACAGACAGAGCGGAGCAGGTCCAGTCTTGACAAACAGGTAGAACTGCATCAATAGTCTGGAAATATTTCACTAAAGATGAATCTTCTGGTTCAACTGCCGTAAGGAAACAGGACATGAATCAACTTCCTGACTGTTTGGAGCTCGTTGTGAACCGGTGTTACACCATATTCTGTGACCACCGTATATTGTGACTGTAGGGGGCGGTGTTGCATGCACTGTTGCAGGTCACAGAATATGGTGTGACACCGGGTCCAATGACCGAACCAGAACCAGCTCCTCTGACCTTGTTTCACAAACAAAAAGTAAAAAATATTCATCTCTAAACCTATAAAAACCTGTAAACATATTAATCTCTAAAACTAAACCTAATGCACCACAGCTGGTGGTGGTGCGGGGTGGTCGACCCCCCCCCCACTGGTTTTAGTTTAGTTTTTGACGTGCTGCACGTTTCTTTCACTTTTGCAGCTTAATAATAAAAACTAATAGTTTAGTTTTTCCTCTGACTTATTTGCTGTGTGATAAATGGGAGGAGCAAAATATACTCTCCCAATGTTTTGTTGGTCTTTTTTTGTAAATAATTACCTTTTTTTGCTGTTTTATTTATTTATTTATTTTTGTATCTTTAGATCCTATGATGTCATCAAGTACTCGAGTTCTACTCGAGTTTTATTATGTTAACGTCGAGTTTAAAAATTATGTAGTCGTTCAACCCCTAGCTGGACTAATAATGATCAGGTTCTGATGCAACAGCTGGACTAATATTGATCAGGTGCAGATGTGTCAGCACCTGAATGGAGCCAGGACTCAGATCAGAGAGCTCCTCTGAGACAGAGAAGACATTCATAAGTTCTTTAGTGTCAGATTCAACCTCAGACGAACGCTTAAAAAAACCTCTGATGACTTGCACAGAAACACACCAGGTGGTGCCGCAGCATCTACCGCAAGAATTCTGGACCAGGCAGGAGCCCGTTTGTATTATTAATATTATTGTCATGGTCATTATTATTACTATATCATAATCATCATCATTATTGATATTATTATCATTGTCATTATCCATCCATCCATTTTCTTCTGCTTATCCGGGGTCGGGTTGCGGGGGTGGCAGCCTAAGTAGGGAGGCCCAGACTTCCCTCTCCCCAGCCACTTGGTCCAGCTCCTCCGGGGGAATCTCGAGGCGTTCCCAGGCCAGTTGAGAAACATAGTCCCTCCAGCATGTCCTGGGCCTTCCTCTGGGTCTCCTTCCTGTGGGAAGTGCCCGGAACACCTCACCAGGGAGGCGTCCAGGAAGCATCCTAACCAGATGCCCTAACCACCTCAACTGGCTCCTCTTGACTTGGAGAAGCAACGGCTCTACTCCGAGTCCCTCCTGGATGACCGAACTTCTCACCTTATCTCTAAGGGAGAGTCCAGACACCCTGCGGAGAAAACTCATTTCAGCCATCTGTATCCGTGATCTCGTTCTTTCAGTCACAACCCAAAGCTCTCATCCTGGCCGCGTCACACTCGGCTGCGAACCGCTCCAGCGAAAGCTGTAGATCACGACCTGATGAAGCCAATAGGACCACATCATCTGCAAAAAAAGACTGCACTGCTCCTCCTGAATCCGAGGTTTGACTATCCGATGGACCCTCCTCTCCAGAACCCCTGAACAGACCTTACCGGGGAGGCTTAAGAGCGTGATCCCCCTGTAGTTGGAACACACTCTACGGTCCCCCTTTTTGAATAGGGGGCCCACCACCCCAGTCTGCCAATGCAGGGGAACTGCCCCCGATGTCCACGCAATATTGCAGAGCTGTGTAAGCCAACACAACCCCACAACATCCAGAGCCTTAACGAACTCAGGGCGAATCTCATCCAACCTTGGGGCCCTGCCACCGAGGAGCTGTTTAACCACCTCGGCGACCTCAGCACCAGAGATTGGAGAGCCCGACCCAAAGTCCCCAGGCTCTGTTTCTTCAGTGAAAGACGTGCTGGTGGGATTGAGAAGGTCTTCAAAGTATTATGCCCACCGACCCATGACATCCTGAGTTGAGGTCAGCAGCACACTACCTCCACTATAAACAGTGTTGGTAGTGTACCGCTCCCCCGAGATGCCGGATGGTGGACCAGAATCGCCTCAAAGCTGTACTGAAGTCATTCTCCATGGCCTGTCCGAACTCCTTCCATGCCCAAGTTTTTGCCTCAGCGACCACCTGAGCCATGCCGCTTGAACTGCCGGTACCCATCAGCTGCTTCCGGGGTCGCACAGGCCAAAAAGGCCCGATAGGACTCCTTCTTCAGCCTGACAGCATCCCACACTACCGGTGTCCACCACCGGGTGCCAAGGCCGGATTAACCATATGGGCAACTTGGCAACTGCCCAGGGGCCCATGATCTCTAAGGGGCCCAGGGCAGTGAGGGCACAAGCAAAATATCTGGTTATCTCCTGTTTTATTTGGAGTTCTGCGCTACATTTGGGCAGCCCCGCCTCCTCCCAGTGCGGCTGTTGCAGCTCTCGTTTTTTTTTTTCAATCGGATCCTCGACGGTGCGACCTGTCAATCAACTCAGAAGGCGTGTCAATAACTGACCAATCGACAACCTCAATTTGTCCCGAAGGTAAACGCCCCTTACCTGCTGACAAGCTCATCAGTTTTTTTCTTGAGAAACATTGTTTTAATTAAAACAATAAGTTTGTATCGGTTGTGAGATGATTTTAGCAGTTTTGCAGATTTTTAATCTACTTAATGAAGAATAGTATGACTTAAAACCGTTCATTAAACAGGAAGGAAGGATTATTATCCCTCCTCTTACTACAGTGAATGTGGTACTTTGCTATAAGTACGACTATATTTATGGCATCAGAGAAAACTGAGCTTAAGTTATCAACATAAAGTAAAATGTCATCAGCATGAAAATAAGGAATGTTAAGTTTGAGATTAATCCAGTTTCTGATGTTTGACCAAACACTTTGTAGTGACATTAAAAAAAAAAATTTGCTCGAGGGATTCATCTTCTGATTTACAAAGGGCACACAAATCAACCTCAAATTTAAATCTTATTTCAAGAAACATGGCTACAGGATACATCTTATTTATTATTTTAAAATGATTCTCCTTCACTTTAGGAGATTTAGACCATTTGATAAATTTAGAATGAGCAAAAGTCATACTGGTTTTATGATTTATACTGGGAGGTTTCTTGACGGAATCTTTGTTATAATCAATAAATCCTTTGTCGCAAACATTCATTGATAATCTTATTTCATTTGAAGTCAACTAAGTTACACACATTTAATTTTAATGTGGGCATCAAATCATCACTTTATATAATATTTTTAATTATTGAATCAGCTGTTGGTCAGGTTACTTCTTGTTGTGCCATTAGCTCTAAAATAGTTACTGAATCAAGTGTTTACTTCCAACCATCCGGGGGGGTACAGCCTAAGTGGGGAGGCCCAGACTTCCCTTTCCCCAGACACTTGGACCAGCTCCTCCAGGGGAATCCCAAGGACTTCCAAGTGTTTTCTTGTGTAGGTAAAACTAGATGTTAAACAACCGTTAAAATACACCAGAATGCAGGAAATGGCATCTACTTTATTCAACATTTTTCTGGGGGAGGACACCCAGACCCCCCCAGGAGTGTGTCCCCCCCCCCCCCCACACACACACACACATTTTAAATGCTTCTGACACCAGTGGCCAACACGTTACTAAACAAGTACACATATGATGTCATGTGGTGTTCAAAGTGCGTTCAACTTAATTCAGTCTTGATGATTTATGTCAATGAGCATTTGGAGTTTTATACATAAAAATACACTGATAGTTAGAATTTGAAGTATATTTACTGTATATTATGGTAATTTATTCTGTATTTTACCAGATTATGGTGATTCTGGGGTCGTGATGAGGGGGCCCTTGAAGATTGTTGCCCAGGGTACAGCGAAGTGTTAATCTGGCCCTGCCGGGTTCGAGGGTTACCGCCACGATAGGCACCGACAACCTTGCGGCCACAGCTCAGATAAGCTGCCTCGACAATAGAGGCGCGGAACAGGGCCCGCTTGGACTCAATGTCCCCCACCTCCCCCGGAACGTGTTTGAAGCTCCCCCAGAGGTGGGAGTTCAAGCTCCGTCTCACGGGAGACTCTGCCAGACGTTTCCAGCAAGCCCTTACAACACGTTTGCGTCTGCCAGGTCTGACAGGCGTCTTCCCCCACCATCGGAGCCAACTCACCACCAGGTAGTGATCAGTGGACAGCTCCGCCCCTCTCTTCACCCGAGTGTCCAAGACATGCGGCCGCAGATCAGATGAGACGACGACAAAGTCGATCATCGAACTGCGGCCTAGAGTGTCCAGGTGCCAAGAGCACATATGGACACCCTTATGCTTGAACATGGTGTTCGTTATGGACAATCCACGACGAGCACAGAAGTCCAACAACAGAACACCACTCGGGTTCTGATCAGGGGGGCCTTTCCTCCCAACCACACCCCTCCAGGTCTCTCCGTCATTGCCCACGTGAGCGTTGAAGTCCCCCAGTAGAACAAGGGAGTCCACAGGAGGCACACTCTCCAGTACCCCCTCCAAGGACTCCAAAAAGGGTGGATAATCTGAGCTGCTGTTTGGAGCATTAGCACAAACAACAGTCAGAACCCATCCCCCCACACGTAGGAGGAGGGAGGCTACCCTCTCGTTCACCAGGGTGAACCCGACGTCATTGTCATTATATTATTATTATTAGTATCATTATTATAATAATTAATATATTATAATTATCATAATTTAACAACAACAAAAACAACAACAAC